AAATAAATCAATGTGCTAACTGAGAAAATAAATCATGCTATTAAAGGAGAAGAAAATCAGGGTGTTAAAAGAGTAAATAAATCAGGGTATTAAAAAGTAAGCAAATCAAATTAAAGAGTAAAATTATATCATTTTGTAATTAATTATTTATTTTCTTTTCCTGTCTTGGAAAACCTATATATATAAGGTTGTAATATTAAACGAAATACGCATCAATCAAAACCATTCTACACATGAACAATGAACACAAAACAATATTAAGAACTCCAACTAGAGAGCCATGGTCGTCGGGCCGAGTAAATTAAAGACAAGACCTACCTTAACGACATAGGAAACAATAACTGTTCTGTGCGCTTCAAACAAGATTCTGAGGAGAAAATCCAAAATGTTTCATGCACCAAGCAAACAGTTGTCATCAAGAACAGAGCTGGGAAAAAAACTGAGGGAAAAGATCACTTACCTTGGCCATATTAAAAGAACTAAATCGCGAAAATGCTTTTGAAAGAACATCATCATTCACCTCATTACCAAGATCACCACAAAAAAGGCGATAATCATCTGCAGAATGCCAAGAGAGTAAAAGCATGTAAGATGTTTGTGTACGAAAAAGGAAAAGCATACAACCAAACATAATAAAACCCAAAAACGTACTGCATGCCTTCGGTGAACAAGCATACATGAAGACAAAATAAGCATGCTTACTAAAAGGGGAATAGAAAGTAAGAACGGTTAAATAATTCGTACTTTCTGGCCAATCCGCAAGGGTTGGATCCTCCCAAGTCTGCCCAGCAGCTTTACGGGGAATTGCTTTCTTTTTAGTTTCTGCCTTGTGCTCAATTTCACTACTTGCAAGAGCAGCCTTTACACTCTCAAGTGCTTCAGGTGTTATAATCTGTGCATCCCTTTGAAATAACTGCTGGGCCTGTTGAAAGATACTACCGAATCATAAAGATGAATTCTTTATCTAATCTTGAATGATATCTTCTAAAAAAGTTCAAATGCTAATGAAAAAATAACCACATACTAATCCGAATCAACAAGAATGTCCAACCATTTGCACCCTCCATCAAACCACTTATTTGCACCCTAAGAATGTATAACGATTCTATTCAAAGTACTTAGAACACCAACCAAACCCCCTCTCCCTCCATAAAGAAAACAAATGAAACAGAAACTCCCAAATCCGCTTATCAGTCCAATATATAAAAAAAAAAAAAAAAAAAAAAAAGCAATACCACGAACCAACAGAAGCTAATTACTTTTCAAAATCCGAACAAACAAAGCCACTTCACTAAAATTTCAACATGAACAAAGACCCAAGGGTAAAAAGCGTGATATGTTTACGAAGCATAACATGGATAAATGTAATATAAACATACTGACCTGTTGATACTGGGGGAGAACGTAGACACCGGCAACCGGAGCAACGGGTGCGGGATAAACGGGGGCAACAGCAGGAGCCGCGGCAATCGGCATTGGGGCAGCAGAAGCTACGTAGGACTGCTGTTGCTGAAACGGTACCGGGAAATATGAATTGCTAGCGTAGGTGAATTGCGAAGAGGAAGAAGATGAAGCAACAGGCGGGGCACCCGACGAAGAGGGGATCGACATGGAAGATGGTGATGCAAAAGTCGTCGTATACGGATTTTTGGGTGGTAAGTCCTAGGGTTTCCGCAGATCAGCCCAGGCAGATGTTTGGGGAGAGAGAGGCAGGGAAAACTGAGGATTTCTAGAGAGAGTAGGTTCCAGCGTTTTCCTCTCGCAACGAAGAGGAATCAGAATCAAGTAAAGAAATTTTCCTGGAGGAAAAAGAAAAAGAATCGAGAAAGGAAAAGGGCCGTAATCAAAATGTCTTAACACTCAATATGGGCCTCCAATGCAGAAGAAGTTCACTTGGCCCATTTTCGAAAGAAGAAGTATTTCACCATTTTAAAACTGTAAAACCTTTAGGATATAACCTGTTGAGGATGACTTTATGGTCTGACAGTAACCCAGAAAACAAAAAAACAAAAAAAGTTACAGATGTACATCACAGAGGAGATCGAGGGCTTCGAAATCAATGAATAGATTTAATGTATCTAAATCGGCATAGATAAAGAAAGATAGAGCTCGAGTGAGAGCTCATAATCTTCCAAATTCAAACACTTCGATACTTAATATCACTAGTTTTATAAGAGAATATGAATATTTATACTCTTGAGTTCTATCTCTATGGAGAGTCAAAGGACTGCTCTTGACTTCTATCTCTATAGAGAGTCAAAGGACTTGCTTTGTGATTGTGTAATGCGGATGCACATATGATTAATATAAGCTAAAAAAGTATCTCATTTTACTAATATTCTAATAAAATTTTATTCTATCAATTTTATTTATCAGTTAAATTATTATTAAAAAATATATATATCGCGTATACATATGACATTTTCACAAATAAGTTACATTCCTCGACCTTACAAACTCAGAAGGATTAGTTTCTTTTCGAAGACAAAAACTCTTCGCTGTCCATTTCGTCAATGTCTATCAGTAAAGTATCGTCTAGACCATCTACCATACCCCTTTGTTCACGCTTCACCTGCATTTTTTGGTTATCGGAATCACTATCAAACAAGTTCTGAACTTCCATCTCAGATATGTCATCAAAAGTAGGAATCTTCTTTTTGCTTCCCCTGTAACCGGTTAGGCTAAGGAGTTTTTCCTTCCAAAGGACTAGAGGACATTTCTCGATCAGCTCTGAACCTTCATAAGCTTCTGTCAAGAAGACACTAAACCTCTTTCCTCGCTCCGAGACATAAAAAATACCAAAATGCTTCAGAAAAAGCCTCATCAGTTTTTGTGGCATCACAAACTCTCCTCGAAAATGGGTTAGGTGATCTGTAACCAATCTCTTCTCAATGGTAAAACTAAGCAGCTCATGCATAATAGCAATTGCCCTCTTATCAAACTCCTTTGAACCAGCCTTGAGCCCTCTGGCATCTGCATACGGAGACAAATAAGATCGTTTCTGGAAGTGTTCGATCTTGCCTCCATATCGATAAAGTTTCTTGTAGTTTGAAGGGAACTTGAGTGGGAAAGCCAAAGAGAGACTTCCCGGTTTATGGTCATTAACTTCA